ATTAGAAACTCGCAGTTGCCCGCGACTCTTTCTTAATTACTAGCCTACGTGTTTTTTCAGACTATATTCTACATCTATGCCAGATTATAGCGGGATCCATACAGCCATTCTTGAGATACTTTCAAACAAACATCTAACTATCCATCCATCGATCCAAACATTCCCATTTATAATATTAATAAGATATAAACCTATTTTTTTTTAATTAAGGTTATTGTCATACAAAAATTAAATAATCACACTTAAGAAGGCCTTCGCGGGGAACGCGTGACAACATTTCCTTAAGAAACATCACGCCACGGACTTTATCCAATTAAAATCGAACACTAAAACTGTTTCACCTAGTTATAGAATTCACTAGAATATTCAAACAATCATATTTATATTTCAAAACTATGTATCTTTAAAAATACTTAATTATATTCAATTTGAAAATTATTTTCATTGTGAGAAATTCCGAGAAATTCATCAATTACAAGCATGCAAGTTTGAAGAATTTTAAACTGACAAAAAACTTAGCTTAAAAATGTATCCAACCATTGAATCATTCGAATTGTACGCTTAGATTCCTTATAAACTTACTGCTTATTGAATTGTAATGAAATATTTGAACAACAAATACATAATATATAGCGGTCGCACGCGACTCCGATCGCGCGAAATAAAAAAACTATGTTCTATATATACGACAAATTTCATCCAAATTCGTTCACCCGTACTGGAGATTCTTCCAAACAAACATCCATCCATTCATCCAAACATTCGCATTTATAATATAAGTTAGAAGTAAGATATATAATTAACTATAAAGGTATAAATATTTGCTTAAGTTATATTTAAGGGTATAGAGAAAGGAAGTGTTTAGCTTGTTATTTTGCAATCTACGTTGGTTGCGGAAATATACATGACATTCAATTAATCTTCCGTATTTATATATTTCTAAAGTAATACAAATAACTGTTATCAACGATATTAATACAACCCTAGGAAGAGATTTATATGCAAACGTCATGTAAAAAAGACAGCTGAAAACAGGAATATGCGTGAGAACCCTTTCGAAACATCTGGCAAAATTCTGTCGATGACCTTACGAAAGCGCGTGTCGCAAATATTCGTGCTAGACCCTCAGAACAAAGCATTTACTATCTTACTAATCATGCAATATACAAAGCTTATACTTATTTTTTCATCAATTTTTTTTTAATTAAATTAAATAAATAAATTAAATAATTTTAAATTTTTCATCGTAACATAAACTTTACCATATCATCAAAGGAACATACAACAACAACAGATAGCAAATTGAGGGTTCACCATAAATTTTCAAATGTTTCTTTCAGTCAGTGGTCGCGAGTTTACTGTCATCAGTAAAATTAAAAACTGATGAAATTCGTAAATCACCCTCAAAACACTACATATTACGATTTAATTTTGTACCCTTTCATACGAAAACATTATAAATTTATTGGAAAGTTGACTTACCTCCAGCATCTGGTTTGTTGAGGTCAAAAACCCGTATTAGTTTCTCATTACTAGCTGTGAGGAGCAGAGTATCATCAGCATTAAAGTTTACACTCTTTACAATATGTTCATGGTCAAATGTATGGACCACTTCTCCGTATCGAGCATCCCATAATTTGGCTGAAAGAAAAGATAGATTAATTGTAATACAAATTTAATTTACGTCTTAATAACTTGAGTAATCACTAATCTCTATAGAGTACAGGTTACTGGTTATATTATAATAATTTTTATTAGACCCATAACCTAAAACTATTAACAATTCTTAAATTCAAATATACTCTAGCCTTCGTGACAATTGTAAAAGAACATTTTTTATTTATAAAAGGAACATTTGTCATAGTGCATATTTCTCAAAATATACAACAAACATAAAGCTGCGATTTATAGTAATGTTGATTTTACCTTTACCATAACTTAAAGCTGGGTGAAATATGAACATACCTGTAAAATCTGCTGCTCCGCTTGCTGCTAAATTTGCATTTTGTGTCAAAGCTACCCCCCACACGGCGCCTTTGTGACCCTCAAAAGTTCCAATCCAATCACCTGTCTCACCTTGCCGCAACATGGGCTTGCCATCTGTAAAGAAACACTTGTAGATCAATAACAAAGGATGTTATGAATTATTTATAGACATTAACAATCTCACATAACCCTTTAAAGGCAAACTAATTATACAGTCTAACTAGAAATTATAATGCACTTTTTTTTATTTATTTCTTTTTTTCTACTGTTATAGGTGATTAGCAGAGATTTTTCTAGTGTTAGGAGGAAAACCTGACCGGAGCCACACTACCTGACCCATTAAAACATCAAAGCTGAAGTACACTCACTAAGTGATCTGACCCTAGGTAATAAAATTGCATTATTAATATATGAAGTAAGAATGTTGTAACCTTTTGTAAAAAATTGTATAAGTGAACACGAAATTAGACACAGTTAAAGTTACTGTGGAAAAGAAATGCATAGTTATTAATAATTTTTAATCCATCTAGTCCACTATTTCTATGAGTAGTGTCACTTAACATCAAATGACTTACTTACCACCTTCTGGTATTAAAAAGACTACTAAATGCTTTCCTAAAAATATATCTCATCAAGAAAATACTATTTATTATTTACATAACTTAGTAGTAAATAAAAGTAAAAAAACATTTACTACAAAGTTATCACAATGGTAATTCATTTTCCTTAATCCATGAAACAATGAAAGTAGTAGCGAGTATTGCTTAACATTCTATGTGGTATACAATAATGTCAAGTACTTTTAGGAACCTTGAGTAAGTACAAGGTGACCTACAGAAGTGAAATGTCAACAGGCAACAGGAAAGAAACAGTTTGAATTCTAGTACCATTTCGTAAACATACAAAGGCGTGTAATATGTAAGTCTTGTCACACAGGCGCAAATAAAAAGCACGATTTTACTGTCAAGGCAAGCAGCTACCGCGAGGAAATATACGGACACCACTCAAGGCGCTTCCTGCATGTCCGGAAAGAGAAGGTCAGATCACATTCAGAATGCATACCGGCCGATTGGAACTACTAGCAAAATAAGAAAAGTGAAGGCCTTTCAACGCATCTACACTCTCTAACATCTGTCCAACAATCATATGATAAAAACAACAAAATACACTTACAGGTCTTCCAATAATATCTAGGCCATGGAAAAACGGCACCCCGAGAATAAAGTACTATTAAAAACTTACCTTTGCAGGCCGAAATCAAATAAAACCCATCACTTGTAACGTCACTAAAATCCAAATGAACAACTGGTCTAGTATGGCCACCACATGTGAGAGGAACTTGTTTCAACGTTGTCATTTTATTGTTAATTTCGATTATTGTACTTTTTGAAAAATAAATATAATATCTGTAAAATTAACCTAATGAGTCTGATCGTACTGAATGTTGACAATCGACTGACGGAAAAGCGCACTGCATAGTGATGGTCGATAAAAACAATACCGGTTTTACATATTACTTTTCAACGCTAAATAAAGTGAAACTTCCTTATATAGCTGCCGCTACTAACTGATACTAAATAATAAACTTAAACTGAATTGTAATAAGTAAATACAAAAAAAAATAACAATTCTAATACAATTATCATAAAATACAACTTGGTGCTTACTACATTGAATTAATATTAGGACCGGACCTTTTTATTCATTTTTATCATTTTAATCATTTATAAAATATTCGCATATTATAAAATTAAGTTAAAACCGATTGACACAATTATTTGAGGGTATATTTAACACTCGTAAAAAGCAATGTTGCCGTTTTTCACATACAAAATAGATATAATGTATTGTAATCTTTTTTCGTTAATAAACAAAATATTTTTACTTCTTTTGGCATTCTATTTTGTATGAGTCTCAAAATAAAAGTGTATTAAAAAAATCTTTTAGTAAAACGCAACATTAAGTCGATGCAATGATAAAGTGTTGTCACATCGATGTTTTATCGCTTAAAAATTGAATCCGCACGTCTCTAGTAAAGGCAGCACTCTTGACGTGTCTCTCTCCCTCTTGTCAAAGTGGCAGAAATTTAAAGTAAAGCAAATTAAAAGCTAATTTCGATAAAATGGATTTTTTCTCGTCCATTCCTACACATATTGACTATGTTGGTCAAGCAAAAGCAGAAAAATTGTATAGAGCCATCATTACACTGTTCAGTATCGTTGGTTTTATTTGGGGATATATAGTGCAGCAGTTCTCTCAATCGGTATACATTCTTGGAGCCGGATTTTTACTAGCTGCTATTCTGACCGTGCCACCGTGGCCGATGTACCGAAGAAATCCGTTGAACTGGCAAAACCCCAAAAACACAGAAGAAAAGCCTTCCGGAAAAAAAGGCAAAAAGTAATTTTACATTTCAAGTGAATGATTGTGTATTCTGCGATTTTTTGTGTTCTCAAATAAATAGATAATAAGTTGCAACTCTTTTATTCACTACATTTTCGAACGATTACAATTGATTCCTACAAAGTCATAAAAGTTATATTGAATTAAAATGTATGTCCCAAGTTAACTTTCTTCTACATATTCTACATCTAATACTACTGATAATAATTTCATAAATTTGCAAGCAAGAAGCGTATTTCAAGTGTTGAATCAAATAGTTACTTCAGATCGTATAAGATCAAAAAATGTTACATATTTATTCTGACAACACCTAGTACGAGTAATAATTTCATAAATTTGCAAGCAAGAAGCATATTTAAAATGTTGAATTACATAGTTATTTCAGAACAGATTAGATCAAAAAAGTAACATTTTTATTCTGACAACTTATCAGACCCAACTTACAACTTATTCATCATTTTATTTGCCTGTACTCTTTTTTTTTCTAACAACAAACCACAGACATGGAGGCACCATCACTGACCCAGGATAAGAGCAGAACTACAAATGCTGGTTTATTCAATGTAAAAAGAAACTAAAAAAATATATAGAAAAGAAAGCAAAAAAGAGAGAATAAAAAAATCAGTTCTTTATTTATAAAAAGGTAATGTCAACTGTATTATAAAAAAATATGTCAATTGTAAGTGTAACTGGTTTCAAATACATTGTCTTGGAAAATGAAATAAAAAAGGATGTATAATGAACATAAAAAAATAATCTCATGTATATGTCATTCAACTGTCCCTATAAAGCTATAGAGAAGCTTAAAACCTCGAATAATTCAAATAGCACATTTTAGATAAATACAATAAATCTCAACATATATTTAGTTCCAATCGGGAACATTTACAGAATACACTAAGTGCATACATATTTCTCTATAACCTGTGAATTCATAAATATATATCGGAAAACAAATTATCATATAACTTTATAACATTAGCTATCCATATTACATAATATCATTTCAATTAATGTCACAATTACCATGAAATAATCTATAGAATGAAATAGCATAGTAGCCATATTACTCTACTCTCTACTAATTTCAAAATTGGAATAAATTGAATATAAATACATTTAAACATCATTACTGAAGCTAAATTTATCTTTGAGATTTTTTAATACTTTGAATATTTTATTTTCATCGCAAACATTACATTCATCTTGTATATCTTTGTTTGAATTATCAGATTCCTTCTTGTCAGTTTCATTTTCATTAGCTTTCTCATTTTTCTCTTCGGTTTCATCACTTGATTTCTCGTTGTCATCATTTAGTGTGCTTGTACTTGATTGTTGAGATGTGTCACTGTCATCATTTCCATTATCATCATTTTCCACATCATTTATATAAATGAGTTGGTGCAGTGTAATTACGATAAATACCAAAATCACTCCATAATTGACTACTGACAGTGTAAACGGTCCCAATAAGAATACAACCAAATTTATCGGAATAAAAGTATTGGCCAAAGTGTCATAATGTTCCCTGGAATAATATAAAAATATATTAAAAAAAATTTCATGATTTTGGATTTTGATTGCATTGAATTTGACACATATTGTTATCACTAACACTCTTGAATCCACGGTTAAAAAATATGGTTCAAATTAAAAATATGTTAAAATTTCATCCAACAAAAACATAACTGTATATGATTGTTAATAGGATTATTTAAAATATCAAAAGCCTTACGCTTTTCTTTTTGGCAGATCCAATTGCCAAATAACACCCGAACAAACTGTCATCACACAGGCAGGGATGTAGGAAGAATCATCTTTCATAGTTACACAATATCTGAAACAATTATTTAAATTCAAATTTTCTAAATATGATGCTAGATGCTAGTTAAATACTGTTACGAGACATAAACTATTGGGGTGGTAAATTTTTACTTTAGCAACCCTTTAATATAGATATTACATACTAAAGCTAAGGTATGCCCTTAGTGACTGTTTTTGGTGTTGGTGTTTTGGTTATCAGGTCTGAATGCGACAGAACTTAAATACGTTAGACTTTTTTCGACTTTATTTAAGTAAGCTATAATACTAACTTGAAATTCCTGGCCCAAGTCAAAAGTATAGGTATGTTAATGATAGTGATTATCAACCATAAGAGAAACATCATCATGTGGAAGTTCAATTTACTCATTTCTTCATTAATAATGATGTCATCATCATCATAATCATCAGGTTTTGTATTCTTTCCCGATTTGCACACTTTAGACTCTTCCTTAGTTTCTTTATCATTGTCGTTTTCATTGTCTACGGATAAGAGTTTGGTCTTTTCGTTTGATCCCTTAGACGAAAATAACTTGCAGATCCTGCTACCTATTATCGCCAGCAATTTATAAACGTAATCTTCGAGGTAATCTTGGTACATTTTGGATATCTGAAAATGTAAACATTTTTAATCTGTTGACCATAGACAATTTTAATGTTGACAGCTTAGATCATAGAGTAAGTTACACACCAGAAACGCATAGAAGGCAGCGCCGAGCGTCAGTGCTGCCGCGCCGCAAGTGTGTGTTGCGAAGCCCATGGTGATGGTTACTACCAATGGTAACTTACGAAGGCCCGAAGCCACGTCTTCCCCAATATTGCCCCCACCATGCCAAACAATCCTGTACATAAACACATAAACAATTGGTGCTGTCATACTCAGACTTTTTATTAGGAGCTATGAGGGTCCTAAGTGTGGGTTACTAAAAACTTAACACATATTAATCACATCAAAGACTAGCAAGATTGTAGATCTGTCACATAATTTCATTTCAATATGATCTTCATCTATACCAATACAAACAGGGACGATTTGTATTTTTGTATGTATTTCAAAATTCTTTTGCCTTAGAAAGCTACATTATCACTGAGTAACACAGCCAATATGATCAGATTTTTTTATTGGGCGTAGCCAATCACGGGGAAATGCTATATGTTATGAATATTGGAGTATCTGCAAGACTAAAATAAATTTAATACTTACAGTGCAAAGAATCTATAAGCAATTTGCGAGCTGAACACGATAATTGCCAATATAACCCCGTGTGCGATGAAGAAAATGCCCATAGCCGTGTAATATGATGTTATCACCAGCAGCAGGGAACGCCCGTAATACGCTAATTCTTGATTATTAAACGTCACCACATCATTCAAATACGATGGAATTTGTCTGGAATAAAAATAACATTACAATTTGAATATTTCAATCTATTAATAATTATGTTCCACTAGCAATTTGATAAAACATTTAAAAATATTACGACGACATATTGACAAGCTTGTAAAGTAAATTTGTTTATGATTAAAAAAAATCAGTATAAATAAAACAATACAACAACGTGGTTTTTCGTACTATAATGTTTTGACTTTATGCAATAAATATTATAAATGCGAATGTTTGGATTGTTGGATTTCTATTAGAAGGTATCTCCAGAACAGCTACATAGATCTCGTTGAGATTTGGCATAGATGTAGAACATAGCCTAGAGGAACGCATAGGCTACAATTTTTTTTAATACAGTGCAGACTGCGTCGCGGGCGACATATAGTTTCTATAAAATTTAGTATACAGGGGATTTCGGGGGCGATAAATTGATCTAGCTAGGAATCATTTTTAGAAAATGTCATTTTATTCGAGTTTTATCGATAATCAACTTAAACATAAACTTAACTTTTTCAATCGGTAAGATCGAAAAATGTTCATATTTCATAATTTTATTAGTAATTCGTACTTAAATATAATTTCCAAAAAACACAATTTAAAAAAAAAATACCGAGCAAAGCTCGGTCATCCAGGTACTGATACTTACGTGAAGACCATACTGATCATTCCAAAAAATATGATCGCGTACAAAGCTTCAGCGTATTTACACAACAAAGCTTGATGTACAGACATACAGGTGCCGTCGGTGTACAAATTGATTATATTACTTCTAGTTGCCATCAAAAGTATCACAACAACGTATGGGAACAGAACTACCGAGTAGTTCCTCACCACTTCACCCAAACGGAGGTACCAAGATGATGATAGGCTGAAAAATCATTTTTTTTATAAGAGAATTGGGCAAACGAGCAATATTATGTTAGACATTGTTTGGTTAAATACGTGTTTAACCCTTTGAACGCCGGTGAAGAATATTATGGACGTCAGTGTTTTTTTTTATAAGAGAAGGGGGCAAAAGAGCAGCGGGAACACCGAGGTGTTCATAGACGTTCATGGACATCAGCAATACCAGAGAACCACAGAGGTGTTGCCGGCCTTTGAGATGGTGATACGCTCGCTTCTTGAAGGACCCTATGTTTCACACATAAATATGTACCACGACACTACTTTCAAGAACGCATAATATTTTCTATCACCATGATTTGTCTATAACGCGCGGCGGGTATTATAGTCATGGTACAAAAAGGTTGACATATCTTTAAGCTAAAATGTATTTAAAACATTGTATAGTTTTTAACATTATTATAGTAATTATCTAGGACTTGTACTAGAATATTTTTTACTGTAACAGACAAATGGCGGGTTTCAAACCCGCGATTGATAAATCGATAGTCTCTATATGTAACCATTAGGCTATTGGCGTTTTATTTGATTGTTTTGTGAGAATATGTGTAAGTAAGAGCTATTAGGGACTACTTACCTAATAGTATAAGTACATTTTGGATCCAACAACAAAGTAACTTTAACCGTTTCTGTAGAAGCTTCCGATGGATAGTTAGGACTACTCTTGAATAGTCGTAACTTCATCGGAGATCGCTTTAAATACCTGGAATAAAGTATTTATTAATTAGAAACAAACTATATCTGTTATTTTATTTTCATTCATAAATCCTTATAACTTGACCTATTAGGAGATAATCTTTTTAATATCTGCTATTTTTAGATATTGAATTATATTATATTCAAAGGTATTTAAAAGATTTTTTTACACACAACAATCTTACGAGTATAGATGCGACAATTTTTTTTTTTCATAAGGTGGCAAAGCGGCTACCTGAAATCGCTGAAATAGCGAAGTGACCGTTGCCCATAGACATACGCAACTGCATATGCGTTGCCTACCTTTACTCGACGGAGAAGGGGATGCACAGAAACAAAAAACCTTCCCTTTCCATGCATCCTCTCAGTCAGAACGTCCATTTCTACTTCCCATCCTTTCCTTATAAGAAAAAGGGTGGGAAGAGAAAGGGGATTAAATTAGGCCACTTGATGCGTGTCTTCTGTGTGGTTGTGACATTTCACCGGGCGAGCGGGGACAATTCGTGCGAAGATGTTAAAGCGGGCTCTACCACTGTTAAAATTTGGATGGTTGTTTCCTAGAAGGTATCTCCATAATGTTTTAACTAATATCGATAAAATTTGACAAAAATGTAGAACATAGTGTGGGAGAACACATAGACTAATAAGTTTTTTTTATTCTGCACAGACGGAATCACGGGAAAGAGCTAGTAACAAGATAAATACACTGGTTATATATGTAACATGTAAATACTTACGTAAAATAATGATAATATTCATAATTCTTAGCCCAAGGGACGTGCAGCTCCGCGGATACGTGATAATGCTTGTTTGAACAAGTCGGCGTTGGTTCTACGTAAAGCAAGTAAGCTTGATGTACAATAACCAAATCATGGATCTCAAGTTCATAGTAAACTGCGTTAGGTTCAGTCTCCTGTATAATGGTTGTACTACCAAGTAGCGGTGGTTTTACGTCAATTATCCTAGAATTATAGTCGTTAATATCCACGTTCAATGTTACCTGCAAAAAAAAATTCGTTTGAAATATTGTAAAGACCAAATTTGGTTTTACGTTTCTGTGGTTACGTTAGCGGGAATAAGGTTTCGTTAGAGAGAAATAACAAAAAGATTATTACCGTTTTTTTAAGTATACACATTAATAAAATTTAAGTGTTTGTATGTATTATCGTAAGAATAAATTACATATCGTATAATTTATTTACGTTGCTGACAACGTAAAAGGAGTTTATTTTTATTTTTGTCAGTCTATCTGTGTGTCCACTAGACAGCGTTTGTTCCGTGTAATCTTCGGAACAAGTGTACTGATTTTGACGGTACTTTGACGAGAAGATAGCTAATAGACCCGGGTATGTCATAGGCTTTTTTTTAATTCTGCGTCGATGAAGCCTCGAGCGACCTTTAGTTAGTAAAGTCTTGTAAAAGTTTTCATAATTTTACCGAAAAGATACATAATATAGTTAGATATCGTAGAGTTATAGTCATAATGTTTGAGACAAAACCACTTAAAAGTAGTCAAAATCTAACTTACAGGTTTTTTCGTTGGCGACACTCTAACAACGACGTGAGACCAGTTAGGATGATTTTGCATCAGGTCATGCAGGTCGACAGTTGCCACTTTCCTACGTTCAGATACATTAGCAGAACCACTCCAACGACTCAACTCCGCCAAAGATATCGCTTCTTTGCTGTCATTTGGACAAGAACAAAAATATATAAATACAAAAGTTTTAATGGATGTTTGTTAGAAGGTATCTCCGGAACGGCTGAATGAATCTCGATGAAATTTGGCATATATGTAGAACATAGTCTGGAATAACACATAGGCTACTTTCTTTAATTCCACGCGAACGTGGTCACGTGTCTCACCTAGTTCTTGCATAAACTTCATCCCAAAAAGTAATCTAAAGTGAATCTTTTATTAAAAAATTGGCCCTTTAATGATTTTTTTATGTTTCAGCTAATCTTAATAATGTTATAAAAGCCAATATTTAGATGGATGTATGTTTGTTAGAAGGTATCTTCAGAACGGCTGGATAGATCTTGTTAAAATTTGGCATAGATGTAGAACTTAGCCTGGAAGAACATATAGGCTCTAGTTTTTTTTTAACTTCGCGCGAACGGAGGGGCGGGCGTCAGCTAGTGTACTTTATATTTTTTCAACTTACCAATGCCGGTAAGTGTTGTGAGTGAATCTCGCGTTGCAACCGAATATCCAATCTTTATCGTTAACGTTCACCGCTTCTATCGCAACAAAGCTATTCTGAGGAAACTGCACCAGACGTATCATTAAGAAAGTTAACCTGAAATAAAAATAAAAAAACTAAATATGTAAAGAACATTAGGTTACTTTCGATTTTTTTAGCCGACTTCAAAAAGAAGGAAGGAATTCGTCTGTATGTTTTTTTTAGTGCATAAACTTCCAATGTACATGAAGGTTAGCTATTTAAAAAAAAAATATTTGCTCAGCTAGGCTATACCAAGTGATTAGGATTTATCACTTTATTACATTTGAGTCATTGTGTATGCTCCAAGTCGTCTTAAAGATCAATGTGACAAACTTCAATTGTTCGTTTTTGGTTCACTCTGTGATATCATGATATCGCTTAATAATAACAAAATAATAATAACTGATGCAAGATTATTGTGATATTATTTACAATACACAGCTAATACTATTGAATAATTATTACAGAATGTATTCCACATTACGTATACATCATTATTATCTTGTGTAAATAAAACACATAATATAAACCAGACAATAAGATCTAAATTGCCGCTGTTATTTGCTACGAATATTTGAGAACATATTATCAATATAACTTGGTGTTTATAAACAGAGTTTAAAATTAGTCGTTTTATTATTTTCCCTTATACTCTTCTTCTACCTTTTTTGATTAATAGTGTACTACATCGTATTTGCGATGATTTCGAAACGTCAAGGTTGAAGATAATTAAAATATCAAAATATTAAATAACGAATCTAGGTAGGTGTCCGGTCCCTCACACTCGTTTAATTGTTAAAGCCTTCATTCTTAAAACGTAAAGTACGTTGGATACATTTCTCGTTGTTGACATCAGAGACAATGACGTTTGTACTAATAATATGCACCTTTGAGTACCTGTAACGTGTATTTTGGCATTTCTCCAAATATTTATTCATTCTATTTCAATTGCTAACTCATTTGTATATGTCATATTTAAAAATGATTGCTATTTATAATTATTACCGACATTCATACTATAACTTAATAATATTAGCAAGATTTTAAGGAATAAATTGAGACAAGTCATTGTAACGCGATTAATTCAATTAATTCTGCCTTCTATCAGTTTATAAAGTGTCTTCCTATCATGTTATGAGGTGAAAAGTTGTGACTTACTTCTTCTAGGTTAGATGAAACAATGTGAGAGCTTATTTTATGTTAATATACCTACACCTATATCCTGCAATCTTATACCTGAAATAATACTGCGATCTTACTTGTCAATATCAGGTCGATTTATCTGATAAATGCGTCGATTATCTTCATACCAAAATGCATCCGCTGGCAAAATAACTTCAGAACGAACTTTATTTTGATCCAGTGTCATCGAACGATTCGCCTGAAAATATTTATTAATAGTAACATCTGACTGATAAATGTTAAATATACTTCATAATATTTTTAGTTCAAATATCTAATTACATAATTAAATATATAGGACATATCATACATTTCTAAGACCAGAATCTTTGTTGTAAATCATATATAACAATATGTTTTAAATTGATTTTGGTCTCAGAAACCTACAGATAGTCATGCCGATAAAGCTCCATAAAGAGATGATTTGCTTAAGATTACGACATTCATTTTTATAATAATGACAGAATTTTGGGTCTATGTGGTTGTGAAACTACGTGTTTCGCCTACCAAAACATATTCATCCCTTTCATTCGTATCTAAAAAAATAGAGACAACAATCAACAATATATATTTAGGCTGTTGAAACTCAGAATCAGATGAATGACGAATATAAATTGATAAAATGTGTTTATATTGAAAAGACATGCAAAGAATGTTCAAACAATAGAAAAATACCCAAGTATTACAAAGGTCACCTAAGTTTAAAGAATTTGGGACTTAGAGCATACTCATTGTTACAAGATTGTTGCAGTACGTTGACATAAAATGTTAATCCATATTTACTATTGTTATGCACGTATTTTTAGATATTGTTAGTAAGAATCCTTTCGCGCGAATGGTGCGCTTTTGTTACAAAGTCAACTGTCCGATTGATTAGTGAGGGGACATAAACGTTGACATTTTAATAAGGCTAATGTAGCGCCGATACACCGGCAGTGCCGGATTTTCTTCCTAACAGTATGTATGACGTTGGTGCCTCAGGGGTAAAGCAATCTTGCAATAACTTGCAATCTGTATCTCCTGAGTTCAAATCCCGCCGTGTATCAATGTTTTTTTCTATTTTAGATTTACATATGTACATTTATCCGACGTTCTTATGGTAAAAGAAAACATCGTGATGCAACCTGCATATATCGTTACAGTGGAGACAACCAACCCCGACTAGGCCAGCGTTGTTGACTAAAGCCTTGTCACCCCTTACTTGGGGTAGGCTCCGAACCCCTCAGTGGGGATGTATAGTGAGCTGATGATGATGTATGCATTAGTATGTAAAATAGACCCGTACCTCAAAATATTGACTTGCTTTGGCCATTAAAAGTTGCGAGTTTTCAGTTATTTGCATCGTATTTGTGTCGACGATATCGAATAAGTATCGATTTATTGCCATCACTAGCTGTTTGCACCACACCATACTCACGTGATCCGGTGACACCCATACTCCGGGCACAGAGGTAGTCTAAAATCACAAAGATGATTAGAAATTTAGTAATAATAAATTAGCCCAAGCCAATTAACCAATGGTTAAGAGTGCGGATTCCCGATCAGGAGCTCGGGGGCTCGAATCCCGCCATTCGACTATTGTCGTAAACCATATCCGATGCCTCCAAGATCTCGGTGCATGGTTATGTGGGATCTGCTGTTTGGATTCCCAAATTTCGTATAATACTAAACTTTAAACTTCCCTCCTTAACCTCCGTTTTTACCGGAGAGTCCGTCGCAATATTAGAAGCCTTAAAGTACTTCGAATCACACAAGATTAGTAAGACAATTATATTTTCGGATTCTAAAAGCTGTCTGGAAGCAATTTTATCAAACCAATTTAGGAGTAAATCAAAATTCCCTTTCATTCTCGAAATTAAAAATTGTTTATACAGATGTTCTTCGCAAGGACTAAGGGTCACTCTTGCGTGGATACCAGGTCATTCTGGGATTCAGGGCAATGAATCAGTTGACCGTCTAGCTAAAGAGGCAACATCTTATGGGACAATGAGTCATCACAAATTATACCTTTACGATCTGTTATCCTTAGCTAAGGAAGATCTCTTAACGAGCTGGGAATCTATGTGGTCCGTTTCCTCAAATAGTAAGGGCAAATATTATGCAGACATTCAGAGCCATATACCAGTCAAACCATGGTTTTTTAAGTACTCTGGTGGAAATAAGCAAACCACGTCAACGATCTGTCGACTACGGTTAGGCCACGCATGCACTCCTGTTTTTCTGGCTAAAATTCGTGTGAAAGACAGCTCCCTATGTGAATGCGGTCTAGAGGAAGGAACGGTGGATCATATTTTTTTTACTTGTCCTAAAAGGACATCATCATTATTGGATATACTTCCCAATTCCATCCCTCGTCCCACTAACTTTAAGACTCTCTTAACTTTTGTAAATACTTCGTTTATTAATATTTTATTTGACTATATTAACACTAATAATATTAGACTCTAAGTTGTACGTCTTATAACCTACTAACAATATTAAAATGTTTGTGTCTGTCCTTTTAGGTAAATCAACAGTTTCAGGTATTATTCGTTTTTATTCTTTGGTTCACTTGTATATTCACAAGACTTCTCTACAAGCAGAGTATTGTTGCCAGTCTCTAACAAGTTTAAACAGAACCATAAACACTTGACATTGGCCCAATCCGATGAGGGAGAGCCATAAACAAGAAACAGAACAGAACAGAACCATATCCGAGCACAAGCCTAAAGCTTAGTTGGAATGGTACAAGAAATATTAGTAAATTTACAAAAATCTGCCAATATTTTCATAAAAAAGAAAAAAAAACTCATTCAGAATGCCAACATTTAGTTACTAAGTAGATAAAATAATGTCAAAATAACATGCTAAAAAGTTATTCTTTATTTATTAAAATTTCTTGAATCATTGCAAATAATCTCTGAATTTGTAATAAGGTAATAGTCGAATGGCAGGATTAACCCTCGAACACCGTGATCGGATAACCGAACCCTTAACCATTACGATATATGGACTTAAACTGCAAGGTTTTGCGCACTTTTTATATATCATAATTTATAGTGTTACACCAAGGGGAGGTTTAATGCCAACTGACTAAACAACACAGTCATGACATGTAAAAATAAAATTAAAACATGAAACTACAACCGTTGTTAAGGCATGACGCTTCTCATTAAATATGAATCGTATTAATAAATTAATTTACATTTTTAAAATAGTATTTAAAATGCAAGCTCATCTTGTGGTTCTTTTGATATTTTATTAAATAAATTAGCTGCCACGCCCACCCGTCGCAAGTCCGTCCGCGCGCAATTAAAAAAGTTAATTAGTAGCCAATGTGTTCTACCAGGTTTTATGCCAAATTACAGCGAGATCCTTTTAGTTATTCTGGAGATGCCTAATAACATAAATCCATCCATCCATCTAAACTATCTCATTAAAATATCAGTAAAATAAAATGTCGTGCAAATATATCAAAGAAATATATATTTTAACCAACGAACGAACGAAAAAAAATGTTTATTTATCGATAACATGTATTTACGTATAAACGCAAATAATAAAATACCGGAGATAAAAACCTCTCAAAATACAAAACAATTTTGTGGAGTTAATCTGTTTATCTATGGAAATGTCAAACTTGCCATCAAAGATTTATCAGAAGTAATTTCAATATTGATGGATGCAAACCATTGACGCACTTAAGATCCTATCTAACAAACGATACTATGCGTGTACAAAAACAAGACTCTTCGACGTTACGACTCACTACCCCGCAACCGTATATTAACGAAATCATCCATGTTCAATAATCTTATTAAATTATTTACTGAACTTAAAAAAACAATGCGAAAAACGTTGCCTTTACGTCATCAAATTAAGATCTCATGTTATCGATAGATTCGTAAAAAACAGAACCTAAAAGTCGACACTTCAAAAGTCAATGGTCGAAACGCACGCACGAAATTATTTCGTTATCTTTATACGATTATAAAATTAGGTCGTGATAAATTTACACACAACAAAGTGAATTACCGCATTCGACTTAAGCCGATTCGTTTCGTTTTACGCTATCTCTATCAATTAAGATAATAACATAAATCAAACCAATTTGCACGTCATTATATAATTTGGTTAAAAAAAATATAACTACTTTGATACTTACTTGTATATTGCTTTATGGACCTAAAATTTTAAACAAAATAACTGTAATTTTGTATGTAAGCAACATAATGTATGAAAATAAGATGATGAATAATTTAAATCTCACAAAAGTTAACAAAGCTGTTATTTTTTTATTACAAAATTGAATTTAAAAAATTTGTAATTCTAAAGAGCTACAGATTTCTTATTTGAAAAGATTATTTCTAATTATTTTTTTTAAATCATAACACAATGGATTAATCAGCTTAAATAAATTAATTATTCATGCTTCAAGTAAATATGTATGAATGTATACAAAGCATGACAACTATTGATTTAAAATCTACAATTACGTAACATTCAAATTAAAACTTTAACATACCAAAGCGTTTAAGCTATTAAGATTGCGTTCCCTAACAGCTGTATAAGTTGGCCGTACAAGAAGATCCCGAGGACCGCTTCCAAAGCTGATTATCAGTTTAGCCTTTTGTACTTTCTCATTATTACCATATGAGCAAGACATCCATTCGCAATCTAGTTTCTTATAAAAATCATTAAAAGGCAGATCAATGTTCAGTACTGGCTCACTAAGAGGTGATGCCAGTGCTATTATTACATTTGTTGACTGTACTGTAGTTGGATATGATAACAGACTCTTTGCTATAACTCCACCCTGTTTAACAAAAAAAAATGTAATACAACTGTTTTATAGTGTTTTATATTAATTAGTAAGCACAAGCATCTGATTATCTGAAATAGGGAAAATATAACTGCCCAATGACAAGGACAACAAATTGTCAAATACATTTTTTTTAACTCAAAGCAATACTTTACATTCAATCTGTAAATTATGCATTAAAGCATTTGTATTAAAAATCACATTAAAACTTGAAATAAATGACCTTACCATAGAATGTCCAATTATAATGACAGATGTTGGTATAGATTTGGTGTATTTATTATATTTGTATAAACTTAAAATTTTGGCAACACTCATAGCAGCAAATTCACTTTGACCTTCCAATACACTTCCACAAAAAGCAGATAATTCTTCATTGTAACTTACTAAAAAGAGAAATGAGAATACATAACCAAAACTATAGATATTTTCTAGTTAGTAGTGTAGTTTAAGATTTAATTAGAATAGATGTTGCCTGTGTCATCATCCTTGCTTCTGCACAGATGAAGGAAATTATAGGAAAATCTAGTATCAAATGCAGCCTGTATCATCCGGGGACAGTGTAGCTTCTCAACCATGTAAAAAAATTTCATATTTGTTCTTTATTTTTGAACCTTTTTTTTATAACATAAGGTGGCAAACGAGCGACCGGCCACCTGTAATCGCTGAAATAGCGAAGTGACCATTGCCCATAGACATACGCAATTGCATATGCATTGCCTACCTTTAATCGACGGAGGAGAGGATGCACAGAAAGAAAACCTATTCAATGCAAAATATCAATCAAATCTTTCCTTTCTATATTAGTATAAATAATTATTTTGTACCAAACCTGAATTAATTTATTCGCCTTTATTTATACATAGTGATTGTGTAGTGTAATTAATGAAAAATTGTATGTTACTATGCATTTACAATTACTTACTTGTGAAAAAGTCGAAATGATATTCATAGCCTTTGGATATAGCTTTTCGAAGAGCAACAGAAGCCAGGGACCTAGCTTGCATGTGACTGCCAGAGTTTCCAGGTAAAAACAACACTGGTATACCATCGAACCTAAAATTACACTTCGTTTGTCTATATACACATTCAAAAAACCACACAGGATCATAATCAATAAGGAAATAATTGCAATACAAACCACATCTTCCTAGTTTTCTCAGTAAACCTCCCTTCACTATAAGCATACAGCCCATATTGTGGGTATTTTGTCGTTGCAATTTCATCGTCTAACGATATCCGCTAAAATAAAAATTATTATTAATAATTAAATATTGATAATCAATGATTATTAATAATTAATTATTATTTATAATTTTCTCACTTTTTAACAAAAAAAAATACAAAAAATACTTACCACAAATTGTGGATATTCAAACATATAAGTCATAGAACAATAGTTATTTTTGTCACTAAAATGTAGGTTTATAATACCAAAAAAATAAACAGTTAGTGTAGCTAAAGATATTAATAATGCAGTTTCGAAAATGTGGCGAATTTGAAAAATTTTATACATTTTGGTAAGTTTTTAATTTACATATATTAGAATCAACTTAAATTAGGACTCCATCCCTACACCGTCCAAACACAAAACCCACACCGCCCGCTACCAGAAACCACTTTTAATTAATGTAACATTTACCTATGCCAATTTGCTTAACAATTTGCGAACTACGATCCAGTACTGACAAGACGTAAAATATTTATCGATTTTTACCACTGATCTCTACAAAAGGATAGGCGATTGCTTGGAAATAACAGCTCTCGTTTTGTTCCGAATTACACGCCCTTGTAGGTGTGCCTGACAGCTAATTCTACCTACATAATTAGTTCAAATCTATACCACTGCTACAATTTGCTCCATCAGCGCCAAAATGGTGAAAACCAAATGGGCACAAAATACTACGTCTTATAGCCAGTACATTTTTAGAGGTCAGTTGTATTGATCAAAACACTTGTTACTTTTTACATATCATTGTCATAGAACAAGATCAGATCAAGATGAGTTATTGATACCAGAGTGGTCCGTGTTCATTGTTTTTTATTTAAATTGTAACATCGTTTCACAATCAAATATCGAAGATTTAACAAAAGTCATTCAGAATCTAAAGACTATAAAGAACACAATAAAAGAAACATACTATGAGACATACTAAAGCCCACGAGCCTAGCGATACCTGTCGACTGTAGGAAAAGTCCGGCTCAACCAGTGAAATACAACAACACAAAAGACAGACATGAAGTGGAAGAAATTCCGGAGTTTGTATGTAGGTAGGCAACGCATCTGCAATTGTATGTTACTGGGCAACGATCACTTCACTATTTCGGAGTATCCAGGTGGCCGTTGGCTCATTCGACACTTTATTTAATTATTATTTTGTTTTTATATCATCAGTCTACCCGTTTCTCCACAGAATACCATTACTTCAACTTATCATCCGTCATATCTGGAAACACTCCCTTCTTATGCATATCCTCTATCATACAATCCATTCATTCTCATATATCATAACCTTTTGCTTTTTAGTTGCTCCAACATTGGCGCTACTTTTAAACTTCCTCTTATATATTCATTTCTAACTTTATCCTTCCTCGCTACACCACATAATTTTTAACACAGTTCCTGAGGGTGGCTGATCACATGCAATCAATAGGTGAGTATAATAATTTAGATTAAAAGTTATGTGCGAATGCATTAAAAGGCACAATTTAATACAGTTTATATTTTATTGATATAACTTAAATATAAAACAAATATTTGCACAAATGGAAATAATTTTTAATTTTTATAATATATCTAGATAACTACGACTGACGTATTTATACATGTTTGCACATTTACATAAATTACAAGGCCATTATTAAACCTAGGACACTACCTGAATATTAAACTTTAAGTGAATAAAATTCTGTGATGATAAAATTTAAGATAACAATGCAGTAGTTCTAACTCTATAATATTGTAAGCATGAATAAATCTTAAAACTGTCAATTTAGTTTAAATGGTGTAACAGAAGAACATGCATTTCTTCTGGTTATATGTAAAAACTATGGCCAATACCAGCCTCAGTAATAAAATGCTTTGATGCCACAGAACTAGTTTATCTTATTACATCCATTAGAACTGTAATTGTCTTTAAACTTTAACAGCAATTAATAATTGTTTCATGCTGTATATGCTTTGAACAGGATTTCAGACATATTTATGTATTTTTAAAGGTATATATAAATGGTTCATAAAGCAGTATTTTGGCTTAATCTTCAACAACTTATCACATTTCTAAATGTTCTATAATTTATTGCATACATATCATGTAAAACATTCGCAATTATCCAAATAATTATTATAATCCCAGTCATTTATATAAATATAATATCTCTCCATATTAACTAAAACTTTTGTTCAGTCAAAGCTTATTAACTCTGCAGTGTTGTTGTTATGCTCAGGTTTGGTTGGGCTTTGAGTCTGCTGATTAGGATTTTGCTGTTGGGGTTGCGGGCCATTGGTAAAGTTTTGTTGCATCTTCATAGGTTGTCCTTGAAAATTTTGAGGCATTTGTTGACCTTGCGGTACTTGTCCCTGCTGTGTCATTTGCTGCCCCTGAGTAGGCATTTGTTGACCTTGAGGAGGCATCTGTTGCCCCTGAGCTGCCATTTGTTGTCCTTGAGATGACATTTGTTGCCCTTGAGGTTGCATCTGTTGTCCTTGGGGAAGCATTTGTTGCCCCTGATGGGGCATTTGCTGTCCTTGAGGCATTTGCTGACCTTGGGAGTGTATTTGTTGTTGACCAGGGATTTGCTGTCCCATTTGTGGTTGCATTTGCATTTGCTGAGGTAAATTATTAGCCATCATTTGTTGATTCATTTGGGGTGCTTGCATCATTTGCTGACCCTGTACTTGTTGCATTTGATTTTGTGGCAATTGTTGCCCTTGACTTAGTTGATTTTGCTGTGGAATGTTCATCTGCTGACCTTGCATCATCACTTGCTGGCCAGGTTGACCTTGTTGCATAGATAAATGACCTTGGGTGTATTGGTTTTGTTGATGTTGTGGTATCTGAGTAGCACCTTGGGTTACTTGTGGCACGGAAGAAAGTGCATTTTGATTTTGGTTGATAGCTGCTTGGCTCTGAGCTAAAGCTTGCCCTTGCATCATTTGCTGCCCTGGCATTTGCATATTTTGACTCGCCATAGGCATTTGAGACGACTGAGAAATGTTTGGCATTTGCGTGCTAGCTTGTGGATTATTTTGTTGATTTTGCATGTTCATTGAATATTGTTGAGGATTGTTATTTTGCGGATTCCCTTGCATCATTGATATTCGCATATTTTGCATTTGCATGCCTAATAACGAGTTAGCAGCATTCAATGGTTGAGCCATGTTCTGTCCCATAGACATTTGAGGCATGACATTTTGCGGTTGGTTCGCGAGAGTTTGCTTTGGCATTTGTTGTGTCTGCTGAGTATTTTGTTGAGAGGTCGGTACCGTGAATCCATTAGCAACGTTCGGGTTAATCATTTGGTGCACGCCAGGCTGCATGGGCATTCGCATTTGGTGCATCTGTTGCATTATCATTTGCTGCTGCAGCGGCATTTGCTGGCCGAGCGTGGGACGATTCGGCTGACTCATCGCCGACTGCAGGCTGGTTTGAGGCTGCGTCAGCGTCATGCCCGATGTCGTCATTGCATACGTATTCGGCGGCTGGGGCATAGATTGTGACAGAGGACCCATCTGATTGACACCCATGGCCAGGTTAGCTTGAGACATTTGCGGTTGTCCCGGCAGAGACATGGCGCCGTCTGTGGTCACCTGGGGCATCATTTGTGGATGGAATTGAGCCGACGCATACATAGGCTGGTTGGGGAAGTTCGGCTGATAGTGATGCATGGAGACACCTGGCATATAGTAGCTGTTTGCAGACATCATGTACTGGTGCTTCTGCTGCTCTTGTCTCATTTGCATTTCTCTCTCCTGTTCCTATTGACATAAGAAAAAATGTTATATTATTAGAAGCAAAGCCAGTTATAAATTCTAATGTTTAGATGTATGGATGGAAGGATGGTAGAAGGTATCAGAAAGGATCCCGAAGTAATTTGGAACAGATGTAGAACATCATCTGGAAGAACACTTAGGATACTTAATAAGGTATTTTTTTAATGCGGTGTGGACGGATGAAGAAAAAAAAGATGTTCATTTCACACAAATAACAAAATAATTATTTAATGGAATATCAGAGTATTGCGTATACCTGTACTCTCTGGAGGGCGAGCTGCCGCTGGTACTGAAGGTACTCGTGCTTCTTCTTGCGCATGGCCTGCAGCTTGGCGGCCATCTGCAGCTGGCGCTGGCGCTCTGCGGCCTCGGCGGCCGCGGCCAGGCGTGCCGAATGCTCCGCGCGGAGCGTGTCCAGCGCTGCGCGGCTGTCGCGCACTTGCGTCACCTTATCCTATTATAAAATACATTATAACAAAGTTTTAAGAATGCTAATTTTTTGTTGGTTGAAAAAATTGGCAAAGCATGCACAATTATTAAAATATAGTTTCAAAAGATAGTCGCTTGCTTGTATGCTTCCTTTTATAATCGCAATACTATTGTCTAGTGCCAGCATTTATGATAACACTATCAGGCAAATAAGATACTTTGACTTAGAATTATAAAGACAATAACTATATCTTGTGCTTCCAAACTTATAGGGTAAATTGAAATGTTACCAACCTGCAGACTCTCCAAGTAGACGCGCTTGTCATCTTGCTGCTGTATGTAGCGCAGCAGACGCGAGTGCATCGCGGTGATGTTCATGAACAACGTCTGCACTGACGTGTCGTTAGCGATGGATCTACCTCTGTTAAGCACACATTTTTTTGTCATTGAGTGAAAACTAGATGGAACTGATGGGGAATATCATTATATTTAATTTCAATTTCAATAACTTTTAATGCCTACTCAAATATTTTATAAACAATCTATTCAAACATTACATTTATTCTACTGAATGAGTTAAATAATGGGAATACTAAAAACTACTTACCGTGAAGAATTACTCTTCATCCTGTTAACAAATATCTCAACCTGAGACTTGAGGTTATCGATAAATTCGTCAATCTCCTTGTCTTCGGCATCGTCTTCTTGGGCTTTGTTCGTAGATGGCTTCGAAAACTCCGGCTGTAAAGACAATGTCAATACATTCAAATGTCTTGTTTAGTTTTGTGTAAATTTTAAAAATTTACACATATTTGTAAAGCTTGAGAAACAAGAAATCTCATTCCATTCATCATTAACGAGCTGTCATTTCGAGCAACGAACTGTCGACTTATAGGCATCAATGGTATGAAAGAGAAAACACAGTGTAAGTCACCTCGTTGGGGTCATGGGTGGCATGCGAGGAGGGCGCGGTCGGTGCGGCCGCGGGACCGGCGTCACGCGCCAGCCGCTGCTCCCAGTACCCGCGGTCCAAGTACCGCGCCAGCTCCGAACTGCCTGCTGTGCTGTGATCCGGAGACGCACTCACCGACGACACGCTCGGCGATACTGGGATTACATATATTATTATACAATTAATAACTGTATTTATTATAGACCTGGACTGCCTGAATAATAATTAGTGTATTCAAAAGAAGGTCAAGATAAATGAGTCTGTATGTGATAGTTTAACCTCCTTGCACTAAAGTAGAGGATCCAACTGTTATTTTATTTACAAATTTTCAGAAGCCATTGGTTTCTTAGGTCAATATTGACATGGATTAACCATCCACAATTGATTAGTGATACATATCCAGGAGCATCACACATTATGTGAATATTTTCTATTACAAAGAAAATTCTAATTGTTTTAGCTTACCAGTGGGATGCA